GGAGGGAGACAGGGAGACAGGGAGAGAGAGAGGGAGAGGGGGGAGAGAAATGTTCCTGCGTGTATTTACCTATGCAGAGAGAGAGAGAGGGGGGGGGGAGGGAGGGGTAGAAATATGTTTACTACGTGTATTTACCTATACAGAGAGAGAGGGAGATTGGAGAGGGGGGTGAAGGGAGAAAGAGAGGGGGAGACAGAAAAAGAGAAAAGAGAAGGGAAAAAAAGAAGAGAAAGAAGAAAAGAAAGAAAAAAAGAAAGAAAAAGAGGGAGGAATAGTGGGGTGGGGAGGGAGGGAGAGAAAATGAATACATGCATAGGTAAATCCATCTTTCTTCAAATACATGTTATTAAACTCTCATTGCATTGCTCAGTTTTTCCAGTGAAAGAATTTTCGGCAAAATAGCAAAGTGACTAAAACAGGTAAATAGCAGTTGCATGTCGCTTTGCTTCATTTTATGTGTTATGTCCTTGTGTTTGCTTTCGTGCGTTGCTACGTGTGCGTTTGGGGGCCGGGGGGATAGAGAGAAGAGTGAGTGAGAGAGAGAAAGGGAGGGAGGGAGAGCGTGGGAGAAAGAGGGAGGGGGAGAGAAAGAGAAAGAAAGAGGAAAAGAGAGTTCCTCTCCCCCCAAAACAATGAATTGTACTGGAGACAGAGAGGAGGGAGGGGGAAAGGGGAAAAGGGGGAGAGAGGGAGAGGAGCGTGGTAGGGAGAGGGAGAGAGAGAAAAAAAAGAGGGAGAATGTTTTCTGTATGTGTTTCTCTATACATCTTTTTTTTCTCTCCCTCTCCCTACCACGCTCCTCTCCCCCCCCCACCCCCAAAAAAAACGACGAACGCCGTTTTTTTCTTCTCAAAAAAGAATGAGAAAAACAAAAACGGCGTGCGTCGTATTTTCTTTTTTCTCATTTTTTTCTTTCTCTTTCTTTCTAAAACGCGATTTAGCAATGACAGTTTAAGAACATGTTTACTGCATGTATTTGAAGTAAGATGAATAGATGTATAGAGAAACATATGTTCTTAATCTTACTTCAAATACATGCAGTAAACATGTTCTTAAACTGGCATTGCTAAATCGCGTTTTAGAAAGAAAAAAAAAAAAAAATGGAAAAAAAAAAAAAAAAACGGCGTGCGTCGTTTTTTTTTTTCTCATTCTTTTTTGAGGAAAAAAGCGGCGTGCGCCGTTTTTTTTTTTTTTTTGGGGGGGGGGGGGAGGGAGACAGGAAGAGAGGAAGAGAGGAAAAGAGAACGAGAGAGAGAGGGAGGGAGGGGAGGGAGAGAGAAATGTTTACTGTTTATCTATGCAGAGAGGCAGAGAGAGAGAGGGGAGGGGGGAGAGGGAGAGGTAGAGTGAAGAGAGGAAAAAGGAAGAGAGAGGGAGGGAGAGGAAGAGACAAAGAGAAAGTGAGAGGGAGAGAGAAATGTTTACTGCGTGTATTTACCTATGCATTTATTCATCTTTCTTTAAATATATGTTCTCAATGGCAGTTTAAGTCTTTGCATTGGTAATTTTTTCCAGTGAAAAAGTGACTGCCTCATTTTGTTATCTTTCTCAAAGCAACTATTTGTGCCCGTGTTTACTTGCGTGTATTGCTGTGCGCGTATGCTTTTTTTTTTTTTTGGGGGGGGGGGGGGGAGGAGAGGGAGTGAGGAAGGGAGGGGGAGGGAGGGAGGGAGGGAGGGAGGGAGGGGGAGAGAGAGAGAGAGAGAGAGAGAGAGAGAGAGAGAGAGAGAGAGAGAGAGAGAGAGAGAGAGAGAGAGAGAGAGAGAGAGAGAGGGGGGGGAGGGGAGGGAGAGGGACAGTGAGAGGGAAAGGGAGGGAGGGAAGGAGGAAGAAAGAAAAAGAGAGAGGGGGAGAGGTTAATGGTTAAAAGCAAGATAAATGTGCTAGACATCTAAGTTCTTGTAGCACTATAGTTAATGTTAGTGAAAGGTGGTCGAGTTAGTGATTAGTTGTCTAAGCTGGGCAAAGGAGTTGGTGAGTGAAAGGGTTAAGGTCGGGTGTTAGATTACATAAAAGATATGTATGCGTTTGAGGAAAGAGAACAGATTGTTGAGGCAGACATCCTTACTGAATCCCACACTTTCTGATAGGTTGGGAGGTCGGTGAAGGGAGGATAGGTGGGGGAAAGCAGAGGTAAGGGCTGCTTCAAAACGTGGGCACAATAGGATGTGTGGGATTGAAAGGGGAACATTACATAAGGAACATAGGGTGGATCAGATTGTGACATCAGATAGGAGTGTTAGACAGGTGTGGCCAATGCGTAAGCGGGCGAGAGCAGTCTCCCAACGTCTGTTCTGATGAAATGGAGCTGACCAGGAGATTAATAAATTACATTCTGTATAACTATCAGTGTGGAGGCTTGACCTAAAAGATTACCCACACTTTAAGACCTTGTATAAACGATGGTAATAATCCGTGGCTGGGATACGTGAGAAGCGTGGTTGGTATGATGTAGACATAGGCAGATACACTAGCACGCCACGCTGCTGTTCATTGCCGGGGATTCCAACATGGCTGGGTACCCAGCAAAATTTGATTGTTTTGTGGCGTGTGGACAGGTAATGAAGGATAGTTGTACTGCAATCTATATCACTAAATCAACGAAAGTATGTGTTGGAGACTTTGAGGGGGAATCAGCTAGAGGGTGGGATAAGGATTGAGAGGTTTGAGATGGGAGAGGTGTGGGAGTTGGTGTTCTATCAGGAGAGGTATTAGGAGATGGAGGGTCTGAGGAAGGGGATACTTGTGACATAAGGGATTCACGTGTGTATCCAGGAGGGAGTGGAAGGGATAGAGGGGATGGTGGGAGGGTTAATGTGGGCTGGGTTGGGGTCGGGGGGGATGGGCTGTGTTGGGAGGGGGTAGGAGGATAGGGTGTAGGGGGGATATCGTTAGGAGGACGGATATCAGCAGTTACTTGGAGTGTGACACTCAACCTACAACTCCTGCTCCTTCCAGTTTGCATTAAGTAATTTTGAATATTTTCAATAGTTTCTTCTGTGGAGTTGGTTGGGGAGTTTTGGGGGATAAAGGATTTCTTGTGAGGGGGGGAAGAGAGGACTGGTGTCTCAAGAGTACGGGCAAAGGATGATGGGGGTGATTGTGTGGTAGGGGAAGGGGTGGAACGTTTGTTCTGTCTGTTACGGGGAGTGCGAGGAGGGAGAGGGGAAGGTGTTGGGGTTGTAGTGGTGATTGGAGTATCTGGAGTTTCTGGATTTAGTATGGCAAATCTCTACTACAGAGTTTGACTGGGGAAGGTAGGTGGGGTTAGTGGGGGGGGTTAGATGTAGGAGGGGTGGGTTTAAGAGAAGTGTTAGAATGAGCAGTATTACTGGAGTAAGGAGTAAGAGAGAATCCACGTCGACGTGTTTTCTGTCTGGCTTCACGCAGTGTGAGTCCAAGTTTGAATCTGAGAGTTGCTACCTCAGATTCAAATTTGTAGGTGGGACAGCCCCTATTAAATACATTATGGGGGCCGCCACAGTTGGCACATGTGCGTGATTGTGCAGAGCAGTTAGATCGGGTATGGCCAGGTTGGGCACATAATGGGCATCTGGCTGTGGAACGGCAGTGTTTGGCTGGGTGTCCTAGACGCCAACAATTTTGGCACTGAAGTGGAGGAGGTTGGTATGGACGAACAGGGAGGGATTCTCCTCCTATGTAGACGTTAAAGGGAAGGTCATGTCTACGGAAGGTAATTTTGGCTATGTTAGTGGGTTTCTTTCGATGACCTCTGGGGGGGATTGAGTAGCATTGTACTGATGTTGCATCGTAGTCTGTGAGACAGGCAAGTAGATCTTCTCCACAATCTGACCAATCTTTGTCATAGATTGGGCAATTTGCTGGTGAGATTGAGACTGTTCCGGTGCAAGTATTGAGGGTTGGATGGGGTTCTGCTAGGATGGGGTTACCATATTGGTCAGTTAGTTTTGTTAGTGCTATGGCTTGGTTTTCGGATGTTACTGTTACAAGACGGGAGCGGTCGGGTCGGCTACGGAAAGAGACTTTACCTACTTGTTTTTGGAGGCATTGTTGGAAGAGAAGGGTGTTGTCAGAGTAGGGAGCTGTGGGAGGGATCACGAAAAATCGGTCCCATTTGGCTGCACTGAAGAGAGTATTCAAGATTGTTTTAGAGATAGGGGTGGTAGAAGGGCGAGGGCGTGACGAAGATGGAGTAGTGTTGATGGAGGTAGTGTTATTAATACCTTACAGCCTTATAGCCCACCTCTCCATAAGGGAGGATGGGGTGGTTGATGTTGGAGGTTGTGGGGGTAGAGGTGTTGAAGTTGGGTATGCTGGGAGAGTGGAAATGTTCCTTGAGGGTTGATTATTGGCTACTGTACTAGTAGGCATTGGTGAAGGGGTAGTTATTGCAGTGTTCGGAGCCGTGGTCAAAGGAGAGCCTGGGGTCGGGGAATCAGGTGGGTTTACTTCGTTGGGGCTATTTGATAAAGGGGTAAGCCTCATTGCCCCTAACAGTGGAGATATATTTTCATTACTGGCCATGGGAAGCCTGGTTATGTTGGGGATAAAAACAGTCCACCCCTCAGGGTCCCCTTGAGGGGTAAGGGCTAGATAACTAAATCAGGGGAATACCGTGCCCATGGCTCCCTCAGGCCGTTCAGGACTGGCACAAAGTCAGCCTTTCATCCTTTCAGCACGGCTCTCACACCTTAGGAGGTGGATAGCAGAAGGGTTTGGTGAAGGGACAGAAACAAAAGTGGGAAGGGAAAAAAAAGACCATGCATAATTAGTTGAGTCGAGGGCTGAGTCCCAAGGTTGGGGAGTTCCCCATCATTGGGTCCCAGTCTCCGCCTCCTAAGCCCCCCCACGACAACAACGGGCAAGGGATTGGGGGGGGTGGCTGGTTGGGTGTGGTTGGGTGGCTGTATGTGACTGGGTGGTTTGGTGGGTGGGGGTAGGTGGTTGTGTGTGGCTGGATGGTTAGTTGGTTGAGTGGCTGGATGGTTGGGTGTGGATGGGTGGGTAGTTGGGTATGGCTAGGCAGGTGTGGCTGGGTGGTTGGGCGGCTGGTCGGGTGTGGCTCGATGGCTAGGTAGGTAGTTGAGTGTGGGTGAGTGGTTGGGTGACTGATTGGGTGTGGCTGGGTGATTGTGGTTGAGAGTGGCTGGGTGGCTGTTTCGGTGTGGATGGGTGGGGGTGGGTAGTGGTAGATGATTGGGTGGGAAGTTAGGTGTGGCTGGGTGGGTGGGGGTGGGTAGGAGTTGGGCGGATGGCTGGTTGGGTATAGCTGGATGGCTAGTTGGGTGTGGCTGGGTGGGTGGGGGTAGGTGGTTGTATGGCTGGGTGGCTGGTTGGGTGTGGCTGGGGTGGTTGAGTGTGGTGGCTGGTTGGGTGTGGTTGGGTGTGACTGGGTGATTAGGTGGGTAGGGATAGGTGGTTGGGTGTGGCTGAGTATGGCTGGGTGGGTGTGGCTGGGTGGGGGTGGGTAAGGGTAGGTTGTTAGGGGTTAGGGCTGGGTGGATGGCTGGGGGGTTGGGGGAGGGTAGTCGTAGGTGGTTGGGGGTGACTAGGTGAGGGTGGGCGGGGATAGGTCGTTGTGTGGCTGGGTAGTTGGGTGTGGGTGGCTGAGTGTGTCACAAGAATGAGGATGAGAGAGGCTGGGTGTTTAGGTGGGTGTGGGTGGCTGGGTGGGTGTGACTGAGTGAGGGTGGGTGGTTGGGTGTGGCTTGATGGATGGGTGTAGGTGGGCAAGTGGTTGGGTGTGGTTGGGGGCAGCTGGCTGGGAGTGGCTGGGTGGTTGGGGTTGAGTAGTTGGGTGTGGCTGGGTGGCTGGGTGTGATTGGGTGGTTACTTGGGTATGGCTGCGTTGCTAGGTGACTGGTTGGGTGTTTGGGTGGGTGGTTGGGTGTGAGTGGGTGGCTGGCTGGGTGGTTGGGTGTGACTGGGTGGCTGGTTGGTTGTGGCTAGGTGGAAGTTAGGTATGGCTGGGTGACTGGTTCGGTGTATCTGATTGGGTGTGGCTGGGTGGGTATGGCTGGGTGGCTGGATGGGGGTGGTTGGGTGGCTGGGTAGGGGTAGTTGGGCGTGGCTAGGTGGCTGGTTGGGTGTGAGTGATTGGGTGTGAGTGATTGGGTGGTTGGGTGGAAGGTTGGGTGTGGCTGGGTGGCTGGTAGAGTATGGCTGGATGACTGGTTGGGTGTGGGTGAGTGATTGGGTGGGTAGTTGGGTGTATAAATGTGGCTGGGTGATTAGATGAGTAGGGGTGGGTGGGGGTAGGTGGTGGGGTGGCTGGGTGGGTAGTTGGGTGTGATTGGGTGGCTGAGTAGTTGGGTGGGTGTGGGTGGCTGGTTGGGTATGACTGGGTGAGGCTGGGCGGTTGAGGTAGGGTGGGTGTAGGTAGGTGATTGATCAGGTGTAGGTGGGTAGGTAGGTGGCTGGGTGGCTGGCAGGCTGGGTAGGTGGCTGGCTGGCTGAGTGTTTAGGTGGGTAGGTGTTTGGGTGTAGGTGGTTGGGTGTAGGTGGGTGATTAGTTAGGTGTGGATGGCTGGTTGGGTGTGGGTGTATAGGTTTGGCTGGGTGATAAGGTGGGTGTGGGTGGGTAAGGTGGATGGGTGTGGGTGGGTGGGGGTGGTTAGTGGTAGGTGGTTGGATGGGTGGGGTGGGGGTTAGGTGTGGCTGGGTGGGGGTAGGTGGTGGGGTGGCTGGGGGTAGCTGGGTGTGGTTGGGTGGGCATGTCACAAAGGATGAGGAGAGGCTGGGTGTCTGGGTGGTTAGATGTGGCTGGGTGGTTGTGGGTGGCTGTGGTTGGGTGGTTGGGGGTGGCTGGGTGGTTGTGGGTGGCTGGGTGGATGTGGCTGGGTGAGGCTGGGCAGTTGGTTGGGTGTAGGTGGGTAGGTGTGGCTGGCTGGGTGTTTGGGTGGGTGAGTGGTTGGGTGGGTAGGTAGGTAGGTAGGTAGGTGGCTGGCTGAGTAGGTGGTAGGGTGTGGCTGGGTGGTTGTGGATGGGTGGCTGGGTCAGTGGTTGGGTGTGGCTGGGTGACTGGTTGGATGTGGGTGTATAGGTGTGGCTGGGTGATTAGGTGGGTAGGGGTGAGTAGGGGTAGGTGGGTGGATGTGGCTGGGTGGGGGTGGGTGATTGTTAGGTGGTGGGTAGGTGGCTGGGTGTGGTGGGGGTGTATAGATGCGGCTGAGTGGTTAGGTGGGTGGGCGGGGGTAGGTGGATGTTGTGGTTGTGGCTGGTTGTTGGGGTTGGTGGGGGTAGTTGGTAGGGATAGGTGGTGGAGGTAGGTGGTGGAGGTAGGTGGTGGAGGTAGGTGGTGGAGGTAGGTGGTGGAGGTAGGTGGTGGAGGTAGGTGGTGAGGTTCAGTGGGTGGGTGTGGTTGGGTAGCTAGGTGGGTGTGGCTGGGTGGGTGGGGTTGGGTGATTGGGGGTGGGTGGTTTGGGGGATTAGGGGTGGGTGGGGTTGATGGGGGTGGGTGGTTGGGTGTAGCTAAGTAGCTGGTTGGGTGTGGCTGGATAGCTGGTTGGGTGTGGGTAGGTGTGTATAAATATGGCCGGGTGGAGGTAGGTGATTGTGTGGCTGGGTGTCTAGTTGGGTATGGCTGATCGGGTGTGGCTGAATGTGGCCGGGTGGCTGGTCGGGTGTGGCTGGGTGTCTGGTTGGGTGTGGCCGGGTGGGTAGAGTATGGCTGGGTGGTTGGTGTGGGTTTATGGGGTGTGGCTGGGCGATTAGGTGGGTGGGGGTAGGTAGTTGGGTGTGGCTGGGTGGGTACTGGTAGGTGGTTGCGGCTAGTTGGGTGGGTGGGGGTAGGTTGTTGGGTGAGTGGCTGGGTGGGGGTGGCTGTGGCCGGGTGGGTGGGGGTGGGAGAGGTTAGGTGATTGGGTAGGTGGAGGGTGGGGCTGGGTGGTTAGGTGGCTGGTTAAGTATGCCTGGGTGAGGCTGGGCGGTTGGGTGTGGCTGGGTGAAAGTGGGTGAGTGTATGTGGTTACGTGGGTAGGCGGGTAGGTGGCTGGGTGGTTAGGTGTGGCTGGCTGCTTGGGGTTGGGTAATTGGGTGTGGCTGGGTAGCTGGGTGTAGCTGGGTTGCTAGGTGAGTGGTTGGGTGTGGCTGGGTGTGGTTGGGGGCGGCTGGCTGGATAGGTGTGCTGGTTGGGTG